TTTTTTTTTTCAAGCCATGCAGCAAAAGCTAATTGGTTTATTGTTTTTCAATTGGAATACATCAAGTACATCAATTAAAAAAAACAAAATTGGATCTCATCTCTCTTGTTATTATCTGTCATAGCTGTAAATATTCAAGTCAGACTAACCTGTTGATTCAGTTTCAGGTTAAAGGTTTTGTGTAGAAAATACACAGAAAATGTTTCTTTTTCATGTGAAAAGCAGTTTCTTTAGCATAAAAGTTTGCTTTTGATACTTAAACTATGTTTTTCTGATAATACTCTTTATAGCAAGGTTCTGTTGAAAAGAAAATCATAGACTATATACAAGATTTCAAAATATGAAATCAATTAATTTGTCTCATAATGTGTCAGTGATCAGTATTAGTCTGTCTGACTGCTGAGCGGATGTTGTCACGTTTTCCACTACTAAGTCATCCTGTTCTTCACACACGATCTTTGTTTGTCCACCACAAAAGGAACTTTCTGGCACCAACAGCACATGACAGCCACTGTCGGTCTGAACCTAAAGCAAGCAAGTTAGACGGTTTGCCTTCAATTAAAAGCGTAGAAATGGTCATTTAAAATGTGACTGATTTGATTCATCAGCTCGAGACCATTCTTTAAAAATTTATATTTATTTATTGATGTTTTTCCCCAAACACAGAGCAGTCTGCAAAAGAAAACACAGACTTGAAAATTAAAAGAAGTAATAATTCCACAAGATAAGGGCCCTCACCACCAGACCAGGGAGCATATTAACAGCAATGACATCACATATTAAAAAAATTCAGTTATACATGTCTGCACACATGTGCATGTGCACATATGAAACATATCTAAGCCACAACAGACTGTGAAGTATTTCCCGTGTAGCTCCTTATTCTGATGCTGTATATGAGGAAATGTCTTTCAGCCACATAATAATAATAATAATAATAATACATTTTATTTATAATGCACCTTACATTCCAGGGAATCTCAAAGTGCTATAAAACAAATGATAAAAACAACAGTGTGGACACATAATGACTGCAAGGTTATGTATCTTGGAAATATAAACGATAATGTCATAGATTATGGTAGATATGTGGCCAAGATATAATCCATTACATGCAAGAAGGCAATAACAAGGAACTAGTACAAGACTGAACCTGTTACAAGAAAACAACGGTTGGATACTAGAGATTTATACTATGGGAAAGCATAGTAGAGCAGTAGTAGTATCTCTTTCAAATAAATTCGTATATATCTCTTTTATCTCTCTTCTTCATGCATTTAGCTTTTTATCTATTTATCTTTACTGTACAGTATGAACTCTCTTTTTATCTTAAATCACTGAACATGAACTATTCAATGACAAAGTTGCATATACAGCTGCACAAAACTTTGTAACAGCCAACACACAATTATGTGTGTATATATGAATTTTAAATTATTTTTAAACCCATCACAGCTTAGTGTGCACAAATCATGAAATGAATAACTTTAAATCATGTTTTTTTACCCAAGAAAATGCACATTCACAATGTCAACTTTCTCATTCACATCAGTTCTGGTCTCCATAAATCTGTTGTGTTTGCATGGGCATTCAAACATGATTTTTTTGAATAACAATCTTCCACAGTTGCAATAACGGCAATATTTTTGTTTTTACCTTCACATTAAATGTTATGGAAGACTTTGCACCTACCTCCAAAATGTTTGCTTTTGAGTCTGTCACGATCAAGACAGTGTCAAATTTCATTTATGTTTTCAACATTTCTAATGTACTGCGGTCTCTAAGCACTTGATGGCACTGTTGCATTGTTTGTATGTCAATTTCAGCAATAAAGTTAAGGAGGAAAAATTGAGTCTCGTTTATTGAACTTTGTGGACAGTTTGTGTGTAACTTAATGTCTCAATATAATCACATAGCAATAGGCCACAAGGGTGCAGATTGCTTACTTAAGTGCAATCAATAGGCTAGTCACAGAATTTTCAATTTTCCAGCTGTTTGATTTGCCACAAAGAACTTAACACGTGAAATGCAAAATAACAAAAAACAAAAAAGTATTTCTGGCCAAATTGTATGTGTGTTGAATCTAAAGTACGTATTCATTTTGAGATGTGCTGGTTAATATGTTTTTATATTTTTTAAAAAAAAATCACTTAATAATTTAGCCTAGGTATACCCATGCTGCCTTGCACGAATTTATTCGCTGTGCAAGTCGAATTTCAATCTAAATTGAGATGAGGTCTGGTGTTAGACAGGCTATTAATAATTATGACAGTAAACAAATTTATTAAGAACAACCTTAACAGTAAACAATAATAACAGTAAACAATATCAATAATAACAGTAAACACTTAATCAATAACAACAATTAATGCAATGTCACCAGGCGACGCACACATTCCTTGCAGAATATCTTATGATGCGAATGGGCTAATTCTACTGTTTACATCCAGACAGAGGACACTATTATTGTCACTGTGATCATTTTTCTGGAGCTGGAAAATCCTTTCTCGGGGTATTCTAAACTGCTGTTCTGTGTCTTTGAATATGATATGCCCTCAAACTCATGAATCTGTTATTCAAATCTTCCATGACCCTTTCATTATTTTTTAACTCAGTGCAATTTGCTGTCTAAATGCCAGGGTACCGCTGCTTAATAGCAAATCATTTCAATACAAGTGTGTGAAAGTATGAGTTCACGTCCATTCATGTGTGTGTGTGAAGGAGTATCTGACAGTACTTTGTTCCCAGCAGCAGTCTGAAGCAGGTTCTAATTGCAATTTCAATCAGTCATGGAAACTAGGCTCGTGTATGTGAGGTGTGTGTGTGTGTGTGTGTGTGTGTGTGTGTGATTCCAGTAGTCCTTCTCTTTTTCCCTCTCTGTCTATCTGTGCTCATTCATTATTAATCTGTCAGCAGTGTCCTGCCCGCCTCCCTGCTCATTTATTATGGCTGTGCAGTAGAAAAACACTGGTAGGGGCATCCTGTGCTATGTGCAGGTCTCAGGTGATGTAACATGCCCTCTGGCAGCCATCTTGGAAATCCACAGCTCTTGATAACGTCACCTGTGAACAGCTGGTTCTTTCTTCTAACCTGACAGTCTCAGCATGAAATCACCATTCATACAGTATATCAGGACTGGAGGAGAAAATAATAACTAATAACTAATAATAACTGTCAGCCAATCCAATATCTGGGATTAAGCAGTCCCGAACTGTGGGGACTGCTTAATCCCAGATATCATTGAATCACTGAATTGTTCATATGAGGCATGCATTGGCAGCCTCATGATGAGGGCGCAGGTGTTGGCCTCTGGAAACTTCCTCTTCCTCTGGCTGTTCAGGGGCTCGTGCAAAAAAGCCAGTGACGGCACCACACTAAAGCCCAGAGGTGGGATTCTGTCCGCCCCAGTGGCGAACATGAGGACGTCCTCTAGTGTAATGTGGACTGGCTCAAGTCCATCCTGGATCAACACTGCATCTCCACCTGCAATGTAAAAGATGTGATACATGTAAAAGAAGTGATTCTGGTTAAATGTTGTTTTACAATTCACAAAGCATAAACAAAATTATCTCCAAATAAATCTGTAAGTGTAAATATCAAAACTACCCCTTCAATCTAATGAAGGCAAAATGATTATGATTGCGTTTTGGCAATGGACCTATGTTGGATGCTGTGAAACCATGTTCTCGAAAATGGACCATTTCATTGTAAATATATACAGGGTTACCACCTTTCAAGGACTTTCCAGGTCCAGTTCCCTCCAATTTAAGGAGCATATGGTGATCCAGTGCAGCATGTTTAACTCTAGGCTGCAAGTCAGAGGGTCCGTAGAGCACTATGGATCAAACCTGCAGCTTTACACAGGTCACCTCCCAGTATCATAGCGTTTGAAGGTGTGGCTATGCTAAATGTCAATTTAAATGCTATCACTGAACATTTAGGTATGAAGGGAGTCACAAGACCTGTTCACTCCTTAAACGCCATTTCCAGTCCTAATCAATGTACTCCCATTAAGCTGGCCTGCTCTCCCTGCCTTTCCTCCCACCAGAAGCTGCCTCCATCAGCTCTTGTTAACATTTCTATGTTTTTCACATTCTGTGTTATAAACAGTTTTCTTGTCTGTATACAACATCTATTGCATGTCTGCCCGTCCTGGGTGAGGGATCCCTCCTGTGTTGCTCACCCTGAGGTTTCTCCAATTTTTCCCTGTTAAAAGGGTTTTCTATGGAATTTTTCCTCAGTGGATGTGAGGGTGTAAGGGCAGAGGATGTTGTTATGATGCCATGTAAAGCCCTTTGAGACAAACTGTTTGTAAAAACGGGCTATACAAATAAAATTGCCTTGCCTTGCCTTGCCAATGTTTGTCTCTGAAATCACGTCACCTAACGAGTCACGTGACGCCTCTGGCTGAGAGTAATTAGAGTAACATCTATGGTAACGGAGTACAGTGCTCGCTGACCCAGAAATGAACAATGCTGACGTCACGGTAAGTCCTATTTTGGTTAAAATTATCTTTTTAAAACAATTTTAAAAAAATTATTGGACAAAAAAAATGATGGAACTTGCATCCACAGAACAATTTTAAAATATGTCTGTGCCGATACGTTCACATTGACAAAATGCTAGATTCTTGAACAAAGTGAATATAAACGTCCACACGCTGCAGTTGGGTCTATGGATGGTATGAGATGAACTGATCATATGTGACAAGCATTGATTAGGACTTGAAATGGCCTTTCATGTGTGGTAATGCTTGTGGACTCCGTCAGATTAATGAATGAATGACCCTACAAGAAAAGGGTCGGACTATAACGTGAAACTGATCTTGTTATGAAGTGAAACTGATTTTTTTTCTGGTCTGGCAGGAATACTCTTCAATATGTAAAAAATATTCACAAAACCTCTTGGGCAAGGTATGAATTCAAGCACTTTGAATGACCAATGTCTTTTAAAGCCTATTTTCAAAAACTTTCAAGGGCCTGTTATTTTTTCTTAATTAAAAAACTTACAAGGATTTCAAGGCCCCATGGGAACCCTGTGTATAATGTCAACATATGACAGCTCACATATTTTTGTGCGAGAGAGAAATGCAATTTGTGTAGACACTGCAACACCATTCATACTTTGGTTTTCTCTGTAAAAGATGCATTGTGTTCAACATTCCCCGATTTCCTTCTAGTTATCAAAATGTGCATACCCTCTACGTCAATGAGCCAGTCCCTCCAATGGCCAACTGCTCTCTCCTCCTCCAAACGCAGAGAGCTCCCTGCCACACTGAATGTGACTTGAAATAGTTTTGTCACTTGCTCCGCTGTCAGCGGACCAGGGGGGCCTCCAAAAAACAGCAGCCGTAAGGCAGGCTTTTCTCTGAGTGCCTGCAGCACTCCCAGAGCTTCCATGCCCTCCTGAAGCCTAAGACATAACATAGATTACACAGATTACTACCTGCCAATATAAATGTAGTACCCGTTTTAGTTGTAAAAAAAGAATCTTAAATATATCAAAGCTGTTGATAAAATTATATTTCTATAACTAATTACATGAAAAGATCAAAAACAAAAATCAGGGCTTACTTGAAATATAATCGGGTAATTCAGGGAACCTTGGCTTAATGGTTTTGGATGCATTACTCTTTTTATTATGGCGTGTGTGTGTGTGTGTGTGTGTTTGTGTGTGAGAGTGTAAGGTCAGGGGTAGTGAAGAAATCTGTTAAATGATCTGATACATATACTGTGTATGCTGATTTAGACTAATCAGTGGCCCATATATATTATGGGGCTTGTAATAGTTCCACCAGAAACATGCGTAACCTGCTTTCTCACTGCATTTTTACACACAGAACCAAAACAGATATCACCAGACTTCTCCTTTAATCTTTCCAATATACGACAGACACAATCAAATCACTGACTGTTTTAAAGGTGCGTCCAGTCGACCTTCCAAGTAATAACTCAAAGCTGAAGAGATAATGTCTGCCCTGTCACTGAGGGTCCGGATTATTGATAGGGACCCCCAGTGACAGGCTGGACGCTGCCTCCAACGCAGCTTCTTGGACTTCTCCTGTTGTTGCCTCTTGTTTTATCTGCAATGAGCCTAAAATTAGTTTTGGTACAGATAAATAATGTCACAGTTCCATATTCAGTTAATTACTTCAATAGGCACAAAATATACAGTAGTAGGCATCTATTATGTGCTGTAGACATGTATGAATATAGTTGTAAATTGAGAAATGGGTGGAGCTGAGTATATTTTCAAAATTTTCTATGACTATTATTTCCATTAATAATTTCTATGATTGACAATAAAATTGAATTCAAATATCAGTAATGTTTTTTTTTTTATGTTTTTCTTTATTTTTTCCACATCTACTAAGCTTTCTCTGCCCATTTACAGGTCCTTTATTTTTCACTGTAGAAAACCTCAAATCCAATGATGGTGTAAACTAATGCTCTCCTAATGGTACTGTATTAGGAAACCCTGCCATGTGTGGTCAGCATGTGTCCATTTAATACAAACCAGAGGATCGGTAACCTTTGTAATGACAACTGTCTGGGAGTGTATCAAATTTAGTTGGAGTGAGAATGTAAGTGTAATGAGTTATAGAAAATAATATTTGCTAAAGTATAATTTTAAGTACCAATCTATGTTTAAATGTAATTAATTACAATCACATGAGCCTAAAGTTATTTTTACATTACGTCCCTTTTTGTAAAATGTCCTTTTGTTGAAATATAAAAGTGGTATAAATATAAAGTGGTATATGGTAATCAAAATTTTGAATATTGCTTCCAGTAATTTAAAACTTGCCTTCTGGAACTGGTTCCTTAAGTCCTCATCCTCCACCTCCATCAAATCAACAGGGGGAGTCGTTTCCCCTGTCAGCCGGCAGAGCAGTCGCTTTGAAAGCACGTGTGGCCCCCCTCCTCCATGAACTACACTCACAGAAATGATGTTTCCTTGTAGGTGCCACTACTAAGTCCTGAAAGTTTAAAAGACAATTGAAATTTTGCGGTAGAAAAGGTTAGGCAGCAAAACCACACAACTGTAGACAGAATGTACTGATAACTGCAGGTGTACACTAGTATTACTTGTCTCTGATATTATCACCATTTTGTCGTTTGTAAACATTTGTGTCAGTATGATTTGAAATGATGATGATTGAAATAAAACATAAGGCATTCATGTGTTCTTATGCTTTATAATGTCAGCCCTCACGACATTAATTCTGTTTGCTGGAGGTGACAGTGCTTTAATGTCGAGGTTTCCCACCAGTGTGCATAGAACCTCCCTCAACTCTTGGGACACTTGAGGGGACACTTGAGGGGACACTGGAGGGGACACTGGAGGGGAACTTCTAGAAGAGGCAGAAGGGAAAGAGGCCAAATCCTGCAAACAAATAGAGTTAACAAATAATATTATCTATTGTTATGTTTGGTGCACAGTACACACAGTAGGGGTGTTGAAAATAATCATGTAATTGATGCAGTGGCAGACCATAACCAATTATAACAATGATGTAATTCGTCACATACGTGATGGCAAAAGCCTAAATGTTTTGTTGCCATACTCAGGAAGTTCTGTGATTTGTTGCACTGCATGTCATTAATACTGTAAATTGTTAAAGGGTGTCAGCAAATAAATGACATGAATAAAGTACAAATATAAATTCATTAAGATTAACTACGCTTCACTGATGATTACAAATTTAATTTCCTAAACTTACCTGTTTCCCCCCCATAACGTTTTCCAAGTGCAGAAGACTTTATGTGTTTGTGTTAATTTTTTAATGTCATTAATACTGTAGCTTTGTTAAATAAAAAAGGGAGATTATCATACTGTCTTTATTCGTTCATGAAAACAAAGCCATTTGAAGTTGAAATGCTTGAGGTTGGCTATGGAGAGTGAATTGGCTTTGTACAGGTGTGTCAGCAAATAAATGACATGAATAAAGTACACATAAATTCATTAAGATTAACTACGCTTCACTCCTCCTCCTCCTCCTCTGTGTGGAGCTCATTTTCTGAAAGCCTTTCAGGTGACTAATGGGGGACATTAGAAGAATAGTACTTGTGAGTGTTTCCCCCCATAACGTTTTCCAAGTGCAGAAGTGTTCGTTGTTGTTTTTTTAACATTGTTAACTTACCATGTCCATTGGCTCACTGCTGTCTGTGTCCGTTTCAATTTCACACTATGAAATACAAAAACAATTTTAATACAACAGAAAAACATTAATATTGCAACAACTGAGATTTTTTTTCTAGAAAAAAGGATTACTCACCAACGGACGAACATATAAAGCTGAGCGTCCCAACACTCCGCTTGAACGGATCTCTTTTGGCGTGCTTTCAGTCAGGGGGACCACCACCTTGTGCCTGTTGACTTTGCAGAACTCAAAGTTGTTGTTCCGCAGCTCAGGGTAGATGGCCCTTATAAACTGCCGAAAGCCACCTGCATCAAGGTTCCTATTAACCTTGAAAACTTTCACCTCATCGGCTAAAAAAACAACAACAAAACATCAATAAAAAAACAGAAAAAAGAAACTTTGAACTGTTGAGAATTAATATAAGTACAGTATATCAAACTTTACATTTTGTGGTAAAATGTTATTTTCCATATATGCCGGATTCATGGGTCGCATGACCATTGCATTACACTCACTCTACTCACTCTCAATTTACTCAAGGGTGTAAATTTAATTTCTTTTTTTTTTTTTAAAGATATTTTTTGGGCATTTTTAAGCCTTTAATTGATAGGACAGACAAGTGTGAAAGGGGGAGAGAGAGAGGGAGTGACATGGAGCAAAGGGCCACAGGCTGGATTCGAACCTGGGCCGCTGCGGCAACAGCCTTGTACATGGGTCTCCTGTTCTACCACCAAGCCACCGATGCCACAAATTTAATTTTGATTTTATATAAATATTTCCTTGTGGGTACCAACAAAGTCACACCCTGGATGCCGAAGATTAGATTAGTGCTGTACATGTTATTCATTTCAAAATGTAATCATTCCACAACAGTTTGAAAGGGTTTACTGTTTCTGATTGAATTTTAATCCAACAATTTTATGTTTTATGTATCCAGGTAATTAAAAAAAAACAAAGAAAAGTGGCTATTACAGGCCATGGAAAACACAAATTACATGATCACATAATATTTAAAAATTAAACAGAGATTGGTGTTTTACCTTGGCGGCAGTTGAACAGTTTTTGATGGGTTCGCATGAGGCAAATCCTCATTGACCAGCTGTTATGTTCCGGGTTACTATAATGAAAAAAGCAACACAAGATCACACAAGCAAGGACACATTACTACTTTGTGATATAGACCCCATTTTTGAGGTTCTTTTACAAAAACAACATAAAATTAAACAGTGGTATTATTTTTGGTGTGTCACGCTTTATCAATCAAAATCAACATTTCCATAAATTCATGTGGGGCCAAACTAAAATACATTTTTTCATTTTATAAATTACAAATTTTCAAATATTACAAGGCTTCCTTAGAGATAATTACATCATTGGTTATGAAGTCATTGTGTTTGTCACCAAATTGCCACCTTTTTTGGCTTTACAGTTCACACATTAATGCACCATCTTGTGGTCAAATGAAAATACATCCAGCCAAAAAAGGACAACACCTTCTGTTAAGACCTTAAATTGACAGCCCACAGCAGGGTGGCTGGTGTTTTGCTTCTGGGAGAAGATAGATAACCACACAAAGTAGTGAATGAAAACTGTGTATAGAGTTATACTTTTTCTATGTCACCTATATTTTCTTTGTGTATGTGCAGACTTGTTAATATAACTACTAATATACTTGCAAGGATGTTTTAATTTGTAGATATGTTACGAGAAACAATAGGGAATTTTTACTTACGTATGGTCGCTGGAGTGTGTCACCCTTGTGGCGCTGCTACTGTGTAAAAAAAAAAAATGAACACATGATTGTGTCATGTTAGATAGCCAACTATGTTGAAACTTTCTATGTAACAATACAGGATTCAAGCAAAATAAATTTTCTTCCTCCAAATTAAAGGACAAGCTAACTTTGTGGTAAAAATGCAGTATATTCTGTCTGCATATAATAACACTCCAATAATATTAGAGTCAAAAAACTTTGTTCTTATGTCACTGTTCTCATTTTGAAATCAATGTCATTCTTGCTTTTTCAAAAGTAAAGCATCAAAACATGTATTGCACAATCATGTAATAACTTCATTAATACCGGTAGGTAATAAAATTTGCACTGCATCAGAGTGGAATTGTGAAAAAAAAAAACCCATCAGTTCACAAAGACATTGAAATGAAGGCTGCAACAAAGGTTGGTTTGTATTGCTTATGTGTATTTTAATAAACACTGTTTGAAGAGATGAAGCAACTACACCAAGGGATCTTGTATGAGGTCTTAAACTTGGGCTCACACAGCAAACCTACACCTTCCCTGCCACAGTGGTCTAAAAAGGGTTATATGATAGTGGCTTATCCGATGTTGCACTGTTGTAAGTGCCTTTCAAGTTGACACAGCGGGATCTTGCTATTGCATCTTTGGCAATCTTCTGTAATCTTCTCCACATTTTCTTCCTATAATGTAATTTACAGAGATGGGTTAGGGTTAGGGCACATGAAAATAATACAAATTAACAAATAATTTACTATATATCTTGCCTGTTGCACTGCCATATTGAGGGGGAGGTCATTCTGCAGAGGGACGATGTAGGCGACAGCCTTCTTCAGTGTGCTGCGATTTTTAATATACTCTGCAGTATAACCACCTGGTGGCATTACTACGTCGATTAATTGTCTGCTCCTGCAGCAACGCATAATTTTAAATCCCCTGCAGTTCTTTAATGGGGGGAAAGTGTTCTCCAGTGTTTTGAAAAACTGCTGTGCTGTGCCTTTGACATCGCAAAACAAGACCTTTGTCGCACCAAGTCCACTGGCCTGGAGACACATATTTTCCTCCAGGTCAGGGATTTCATGGGTAGCTACCCGAGAGCAGCAGAAAAATTTGTGCTGCCAGGGCTGTGTTAATTTGTTTGGGCTCCTTCTTG